CCCCGCCGCTGGGCACAGCCGGGGTGTCCAGCGCCGCGCCGCCCGCTCCCCCTCGGGGGGAGGGGGTCCCCGCCCCCCCCCCCCCCCCCCCCCCCGCGCAGACCTGCAGACCCTCCCTCCGCACCTCCCCGGGCTTGGGCCGCGGGGCCCTGCGGCAGGGGCGCGTGTGAGTGTGCACGAGCGCGTGAGTGTGCCGGGGGCGGGCGGCGAGCCGGCGCCAGGCTCCAGGAGGGACAAGAGGCCTGCTCGGTTCCGAAAAGACCGATGAGAACGCGGGCGCGCCCGATTCCGTGCGGGTGAGTGTCGGGGGGCATCTCTCTCCGGTGGCCCTGGGCTTGGGGGGTGGGGGGATGGCGGCTCCGGGGGTGGTGGGGGACCGCTGCCCGCAGACCCCCTGGCCCAGCCCGAGCGAGCGCGGCCTCCCGCCCCCGGGCGCCCCGCTCCACCTGCGGGACGAGGGGGAAGCGAGCTGGCGGCTGCTGAGAGCTGCTCCCCGGGTTCACGGTCAAGGGCGGCCCAGCGGCGTGTGCGGGGCGGGGCGGGGCGGGGAGGTGGGGGCCCGGCGCGCCCAGGGAGCCCTGCAGGCAGAGCCCGGGAGCGGGCAGGAATCTCGGGCGACGGGCGGGCGGGGCCTCGAGGCAGGCTTCGGAGGGAGGACGGTGCACTCGGGGACGTGGTTTTGTTCCTCTCCTCCGCCGCCGTGGAGTTGAGTTTCAGCACTGGCAGGGGGCGGGCTGGAAGGAGAAGGAGGCCGTGAGCGCAGAACGCCCTCCCACACACACACCTGCAGCAGAACGTGGGCAGGTGGACGTCTTCCAGCCACAGAGTCCTATGCAGCGACCCGCGGGTCTGGGGAAGGAGAGCGGCGGGCGGAGCGCGGCCGGGACGGGGCTTGGGAGGCCTGTTTTCCATCCCAGATAGGCCGAGGAGCCCCTCACTAGCCGTGGGGTGAGTGAAGGTGGACTGGACAGTGTCCCCCCGCCTCTGGAGCCCTGCCCTCCCAACGGTGACTTCTCCCATCTCTGTCAGTGTCCTGGGGCCATAACAGGGTCCTGCAGGCTGGGGGCTTGAGACAGCAAATGTATTCTCTCCCGATTCTGGAGGCTGGAAGTCCGAAATTGAGGTGTGGGCAGGGCCTTCGTTGCCTCTCCCCAGCTTCTGGAGAATTCTTGGTTCTCCTTAGCTCCGCGACGCAGCATTCCAAGACCGCATCGTCACATGGCCCTCTTCTCCCTGCGAGCCTCCTGGCCTCATCTTCCCTCAGTGCCCGCAGAGGCCTCTGCTCCTACCAGGCCTGCAGATGGCCTTGGGGGTCCCTGAGAGACGACCATGGGTCCCAGCAGCCCAAGAGGCCGCCAGGGGAGAGCAGGAACAGAATAGCAACACTGCCCGGGGAGCCTTGCACGTCCCCTCTCTGTTCCTGAGGAGCCAGGGCTTGGAGCAAGGTGGGCATCTTGGCTGGCTCTTTCCTCCCAGCAGATCGCCGTGTCGCCCCGGGATGCGCTCAGGGTCCTTCCCCCTCTTGACCTCACCCCATCCCCTCCTCCCTTCCCTTCCGGGGCTAGAGTCTTGATGGAGCAGGGACTGAGCGTGGTGGCTGACGTTGGCCGTTCCCCAAAGGGGTTGCGACAGAACAGCGCATCCCCAGGAGACTTGGGGCTCTGTGGCGCCCTCCAGAGTGAAGGGTTCCGGGGCCCCTGGAAAACCTCAGCTCCACCGAGCCCTCGGGCTGTGAGTGGGTCTCACGCATGGCTGGGACCTCAGGCCAGGGAAGGGGCAGTCACCGTGCTTGCAAACTTGTTGGTCCCTTCCAGCTCTAAGAACTTGGAACCTGTTACAAGCTAAAGCTGGCCTCCTCCGCCAGGATGCCCTTCCCTGCACTGTTTCCCCACCTCCTCCTAATTCCAGGCCAGGAAGTGTGTCCCTCATCTGGATCCTGTGACACCAGGCCCGAGGTCTGTCACCACACCAGTTCCATCGTGCCCGCTCCATGCTTGCACACGTGAAATCCCGACGCGATGCCTTTGTTTCTGTGTCCCTGGCTGACAGGGACTTTCACGGGCCCGTGTGCAGTAGGTACTTAATTAATGCAAGTGAATGGGTGTCTGGCCACCTCTCCCTGGATGGGGATAAAGGGAGCACTCCCCTGACTTAAGCCCCTTTTCCTGCAAGTTGTGTTCCAAGAAGACAGGACTTGTAGCAACGATCCACGCGTCCCTCGTTCTACCCAAACTTCATCTACAGGGGGAAAGGGAAGGAAGCCGTGTGGATTAAAACTCAGACAAGACCCCCAAGCAGAGAATTCGGGATTCCCGAGCGTGATCGCTGGGGCCCGTATCCCGCCGTGGGAGGGGTGGTGCTGCAGACCGGAAGTGGGTGGAACAGGCAGCTCTGGGGCCGGTGCACCTGCTGGTCCGCCCGGAGCCCCAGGCCGCGGGCGTGTTCCCGTGTCACACCAGGCATCTGCACCTCCCAGAGGGTTTGCTGCCCCCTCAGCCTCGGCAGGGAGCTGGCGCTCCCGCCTTTCCCGCCAGCACCTTAAGGCCCCCGGTTTCCTTGACCTTTGCGTCAATTTAATTGTAGGAATGGTGAGGCTGGTTTGTGCACCGCGTGACGCTGAGTGGATGCGTGTCGGAAGAAATGGTCGGCGCCACAGGAATGCAGGCCCTCGGGCAGCAGGTACCGTGTGCCGGGCGCGGTTGTTCACGGGACGCACCCGGCCAACCCTCACGTCGAGTCTGCAAGGGTGGCGCTTTCGTCATCCCCACCCTCTGCAGGACGGAGCAGATGGCGGGGGGGGGGGGGGGGTCAGCGTCTGCTCGGCCACTGGGGAGGAGGGGCCAAGCCTCCGTCCTTGGGCAGACCACTCAGCTCGCCCCTCTGTGAACACCTCTACGCGTCCTCCGCTCCCCGAGACAGTGAGCTGTAGGTCGTTTGGAGGGCGTCCTGCACATTGTGCGCGGATCAAGGCACATCCGGCCCCATCAGCACAGGGCATCGTGCAGAACTTAGGGCGCCGTGTCAGAAGGAGCCCGGGACTAGGCCCGCGGCATCTGGCCCCTCATCTAGGTAGGGGAGGCTTGGGGCAACTCATCTCTCTGGATGTCAGCTCCTACGCAGGCTGCTTTCTCATCTGTACAAGGAAGCCACTGCAAGTCAACTCTGTGGGGCCATGGGGACCATCCAAACGGGGACAATGGAAGCTCCCTTGAAAAGTGCCGGGCAGTGCACAAAGGCAGCCGTCTGCCGTCGTGAAAGTGAGCCCCCTTGGAGGACACCCTCACAACACAAGTAAACCTGGGGCAGAAGGTTCTGGTTGCTTAGACCAGAACAAAGCCCTTCATCCCAGCGCGGAGAAAAGAGAACTGGCCAGGAGTCAGACCATTTGGGTTTTAGCCTGTCAAAGCCTTTTAAGTGTTCTGCTTCGTCAAAGGGTGTGTTACAAACTCAGCTTATTTTAAGGTCCCCTTCGCTCAAAACCTTTGATGTTTCATATTTGAGCAGGAGGCTGTTCCTCCCTCAGACAGGGCGTCCTCGGCTTTCTCTGCCGAGTCCCCTGCGCATGGTCGCGGCCCCTGCACCTGCAGACCAGTGTGTTCTCCTCGGGGGTGCGGTCGTGGCCTTGGAGAGGGGGCTGGGGGGCTGCTGGGTGAGGAGGTGCTGGGTGGAGCCTCTGTAAGACAGGACCAGATAGGAAGGGATGGCCAGGCCTAGGGGGGCAACACTCCCACCAAAGCGGGGAACAGGCGCCCCGGCACCAGGGGGGGTGTGCCCCCCACTGTTCGCGGAGAGAAAAAGCAGACTCGCCTCCCGCCCCGTAGCGTCGGAAAGAAGAAACTGGGGTTCTCAGTGGTCCGGTGAGTTACCCGAGACCCCAGACTACACTCTCAGTCTGTCTGTCCCACTCTTACTGATTTCACCAACACACGCGTTTGGGCTAACGAGTCCTGCCCGCAAATGTGGCGGTCTCGTTAGGAGAGCGCCACCAGCGCTAAGGACACAGTGACGGAAGGCTGGGGGCCAGTGAGTAGCTGTGCCCTGTCCTTGTGGTCGGTGCCGGTGCAGCGGGAGTTCCGGGGAGGCGGGGCCTTCTCAGGGTTTGCAGGACACCAGGCCCTGACCGTCTCCATGTGCGCGTGCCGGTCCCCCCGCTCCAGACAGCCAGGCCTGCCCTGTCGGGCACCTGCTGGGTGTCCCTGGGAAGCCTGCACGCGGGCTCTCTGCGCCCCTCCCTCCCAGCCTGCGCTGTCCTCTCTCACACGGTCCCCAGCACGGGTGTCCCAGGGATTTCCCCGAACCCGACATTTGGCCGCTCTCATCTTGGGGACTCGAGGAGGCCAAACACGGTCAGCGGCCAGGGTGGGAGAGATCACCCCTGTTATGCAGAACCCCCCAACATTTCCCGGCTATAGATTGACTTTACCACTTTGCAAGAGCTGCTCCCGTGGGAGGGGCGGTGCTGACCCGGAGGCTGAGGAGCTGGCCAGGTCTCCGGGGGGAGGGGGGGGCGGAGGGCTGGCAGTGAGCTGCATCCCGGGCCCCGAGGCCACGTTGCCTCCTGGCTGGGCCGAGGGGGCTGGGTGGGAGCCGCCGGTACCCCCACAGCACTGTAGGGTAGCTCTTGTCCCGTTTCACAGCAGGGAAACTGAGGCCCAGGAGGGCAGGTCATGGGTTGGAGGTCACCAGCCAGTAAGGCACGGAGCGCTCCACCCCTAGGCCACATCAGCCTCCAGTACAGGTGTAGTGCCTGGTGTGGGTGCCTCTGAGACACCCCTTCTCCTTAGTAGACCCCTGATGCAGAGGGGTCTCCAGAAGCAAGAGACTGCGGCTGCCGGGTGCACCATGCAAGGGCTTGCTTCCAGGGTGTGGACTTCAGGCCAGTGTGAGCCTGGCGGACTCCACGAGCACCTGCCTGGTCTGAGATCAGGCAGGGGGCGGGGTGGGGGGGTCTGGCCGGAACGCCAGTGAGCTGAGACTCGGGCCCTTAAAGGAGCTATGTGGTGGCCCAGGGGGCAGTCCAGCAGAAGAGTGCTGGGGCGGGCCGGAGAAGACAGGGCTGGCCTGTGGGGCCACCTAGAGGACGCCTCCTCCGGCTTGGGGCTAAGGGACTGGTGGGCAGTGAAGGCCGCTTGGAAAAGCAAGAAGAGGGCCGGTGACGGATCTGGACCCTCATCCCGAACACAGCGGGTTGTCTGGGAACGGCTTGAAGTTCACGGTCAGCTTGCAACGAGCGTCAGTCACGTCCCCAAGGGGAGAGAGGTGGCCCGTGGAAGGGGACACGGGTGTGGACGCCTGG